TCAAGTCCAAAATCTGAGTACTTCTACTTTTACTCAAGTCCAAAATCTGAGTACTTCTACTTTTACTCAAGTACAAGATCTGAGTACTTCTACTTTTACTCAAGTCCAAAATCTGAGTACTACTACTTTTACTCAAGTCCAAAATCTGAGTACTTCTCCCACCTCTGTGTACATCTTGATAAAACTTTAAAACCTGTGAGAAAAAAAAACGTCTTGTTAAATTTTGTGTAAGAAAATGTGGGCCTCAATGACTCAGACTTAAGGTACTAATGTACTGGAAAAAGTAGTGTGTTGTGAGTTAATAGTATGTATACATTTGATATAATATGTATTATAACAATACAATACAAATATATATATATATCTGTGAGGTTTAAACTTCTTTGCAGCAATGTTGAGCCAATCATGAAATGAGTGAAACTGGATTCGCCTGTCAATACACTGATATTTATTGAGAGCCTCAGCGGCCGGAGAGTTCACAGCATATCACAGTTCTCCTGTAAGATACCAGCAAACTCTGCCCCAAAAGCGCCAAGAACCCATCTATACAAAGAGAAGAGGAGGACCCTAAAACACGCGGGTTTTCCTTTAATGCATGCCAGATGTCGAGACAAAGACTCGTTGCATTGTAACCCCACATGAGCCAAGCTTCTCCCCCACAAGACATCAGATGACCTCTTGACCTGTGTCTTCCTGAGAAGCTATGGATCACATTACAGGCAGGAATACACTTTAACCATTAAACAGATTCCCGAGGACAAATCACTAAACTCTATATACTTTAACAAGACCAAAATATTCCTTTACAATATCTATATATAGATATATATATAGAGGGCAGGGCGACAGGTAGCTGGGCTCTATATGTATAAAAAGGTACACCCTGAAGCGGTCGGGTCAAATCTCTCCCTGAAGTTTATTTTCATGATGAGATTGTTTAACCAAAGCTGGACGCCTCAGAAACAAATATGCATTTTCAAAAAAACATGTGGTCTTCCCCACATGCTGAACAGCAGGAAGATTCCTATGACTATAAAAACAAAACACACATAACTATAAAGATGTGAAGCCCGCCACTTAGGTGGATTTGCATGATGTTTACAAGCTAGACACACACCTGTAATAATAAACGTGATACATGCAAAGTGAAGAATAATGTTTGTGATGCAAAGAGAGATCTGTAATCCTGACCAAAGCCAAAGTATTTTCAGACGTTAAGTGATTAAATACCGTTTTTCGTGACAGAAATGTTTGCATTTAACTGGAGAAAAAAGCGTTTTTCATATCAAATGTCAGTAAAAAAAGCAATCCAGTTTTCAGCTCTGGGTAAAATGCATGGCGGGATAATTATCTTCGCTGACTTGAATGGACCTGAGCCAGCGTTGAGATAATATTGTTAGTTAATAATCAGGCTCACAAAGAGGACGCGTTGAAGTCCGATTTGATTGCTTTAAATGTTTCCAGGAATTGCGCGACAACAAAGAAAAGATAGCCATGACATGTCAAAATGTTCAAAGACTTTCTGAGTCAAAATGTTTCACAGTCAGGAACTAATTTTTCCGATTATTCCAACACCACTTAAATGCAGCACAAATGCCCTATTTGACAATGCTAGCTAATTGAAACTCAGCATGTGTTTCCCTTCAGATTCACTTCAAAATGTTGTGTGTGTTGTCATGGCCCATTCTACAACCTTCCACTACATTTCCCCAAAAATAAGGCCATTCGATTTTCTGTAATCCTGATGACAGACTTACAAACTGAGTCAAAAACCTCTCCTCCTAGGTGAATATAATTATAAATATTAAGTTGTAGATCTGAAACAAACCGCCTTTTTCAGAGCAGGAGTTATCAGAAAAGTGCCGGTGACGTAACGGTGACGTCACATCGTTTTTCTTTATCAATCAATCAATCAATGTTTATTTATATAGCCCAATATCACAAATGTTACATTTGTCTCAGTGGACTTCACAGTTTGCACAGAATATCAGTATGACAATAAGACACCCTCTGTCCTCAGACCCTCTGTCCTCAGACCCTCTGTCCTTAGACCCTCTGTCCTCAGACCCTCTGTCCTCAGACCCTCTGTCCTTAGACCCTCTGTCCTCAGACCCTCACATCGTACAAGGAAAAACTTCCGGAGAAAACCCACAGTTTAAAGGGAAAAATGGGAGAAACCTCAGGGAGAGCAACAGAGGAGGGAGAGCAACAGAGGAGGGATCCCTCTCCCAGGACGGACCATAGACTGTATATATAAATGGACGTAGGGTCCGTGACGTCACCCATAGGATTCTGCAGAGTTGCGTGAAGCCCTTAGTAGGCGGAGTCGGCCACTAACGGCTCGACGGTGTCGTCAGAGTCTAACTCCCGCCTTCTCCCGCCTTCTCCAAATAAGGGCAAAGAGGCGGAGCTGAGGCGGAGCTGAGGCGGAGCTGAGGCGGAGCTGAGGCGGAGCTGAGGCGGAGCTGAGGCGGAGCTGAGGCGGAGCTGAGGCGGAGCTGAGGCGGAGCTGAGGCGGAGCTGAGGCGGGACCTGCTGCCAACAAGCGTGACGTTCGAGTCCTAGCTCAGGCTAAGAAGCTAAGCTAACATGCTCTCAGTATCAATCGAATGTAAAACATGATTGATGAAAGTAGTAAATCGGTCAGATTTGACCCGAAGACAACAGGAGGGTTAATGCCATATTCACTTAGTAACGCATGAACAACTTTTACAAATATTTCTATATAGTCTGTGTTGGTAAATGTCATCTAGGTTGCACATTTCCTGCTGAAATACATGCATACCAAGTCACTGCGTGGCACTTTGGTTTTGATAAAACAGTGTAGTTCCACTATATAAACGTTACATTCATAATCAAACGAGACAATCTGCAAGATAATTAGCTATTTGGTATTATTAAATAAAATAAAATAAGTACCGATACATAGCAGAATAATTGTGGCGGTGTTCAGCTTAATAAGCCTTGCTCAACATCATTTATTTAGCTAATACTACAGCGGGCTGCAGGCGAACCAAGTCCGCGTTACGATGCATTCCTTGATCTCCAGTTATAACGCCGGACTCCGCCGCTGGCCGAAGCTAACGGAGCCCCAGGGTGCTAGCTACGGCCGCCGGGACGCGCTAGCGAGCTAGCACCCTGCAGCCCCGTTAGCTTCGGCGGCGTGGACTCCGGCGGCCCACCCCTTTTAACATTTGCTCCCGTTTAGCATTATGGGCGTCATAGCCATATAGTATAAAAGTCTTACCCAAGGCTGAATCATAAACTAACCTGTATATATGTATAAAGGGTTACGTCCTTAGCTGGCTAATAAGCTACATAACAAGCTAAGCTAACAAGCACACAAACACCTGCTAACGGGGTTAACATGTATAATATTATCATTTTACTCACCGAAAAAAGCTGAAAGTAGACTTCTTGGAAGATCTGTTAGTACATTCAAGCGCACAGCACGACATTTTAATTATCTGGTATTTGTAACAATATTCCCTAACAGGCACAATCACCACGAACACAGCTAAAGGATCAAGTACAGTAACTACAACTAACTAACGTTGTAGCCTCTATGGTTGTAGCCTAGCAGATTGGACAAGTTGCTGTTAGCTGACAGTGAGGCACGTATCTGTCAATCAAAGTGACCACACCCTAATGTATGCACAAACTTTAAGACCTAATATAAATATAAAGGGTCGCGTTAGAAAACAATTCACTCACAGATCCATAATCATGAAGGTGGAATCTAACTATATCGATAATAAAATGTATGGAGCCAGGGGTAGAAACATGTTTTTTTCTGCTGTAAAATCGGGCATTTTAACATGGGGGTCTATGGAAATTGCTCCTTTCTGCAGCCATCGCCTATCAGCCAATATATGAACTGCAGTGTGTGGCACTTCCGTATTGGCTTCCCGGCTCTACCCCACAGTTTGCCGCTTGGGACGGACAGACGTGCAATAGATGCCGTGTGTAAATCCAAGAGATAATACATTTTACAGCGTAGGTAGACCAAATGTTTGGAAATGCATGTGTGTATAATAAGAAGATGAATCCACGAGGATGTCAACAATCCTGTGGGAGCCATCAGGGAAGTAGTATGATGAGAGTCAGGCAGGACCGCAGAGACAGGTTCAGCCACGACTCGAAGTCCAGGACTCAGATCCAGTGCTCAGGATAGAGGATCCAGGACACACGACCACAGCAACAGGATTAGCCTCGACTCAGGATCCCGGCGTAGATATGGACACAAAAAAGAGATTTGGGGGAAGCTGGGTTAATCGGAGCATGAGATTCATTACAGGTACAAACAGCCAGAAAGACGGAGTAAGGTCCCCCCCCCGACAGTCTAAGCCTATAGCAGCTAAACTAACGTGTCTACATACATGCACTCCCTCAGGATAGGTTGAGGGAAAAGGCTGGCAAGCAAGAAGTAAGAAGCAGAGGTGGAGAGGCACACGCAGGGAGAAAGGTCCCCCACTTTATGTAATGTGTTGTTGCTTTGTATGTCTGTCCCTGGACTTAGTTGTATGTAGAATGTATGATGTTCATGTATGATAATTGAATAGATGAATTAAACAAAAAAAAAAAATTAAAAAAAATCTTGTTTTTGCCTGTGTCTTTAAGACAGAAACGATCACATCAAAACCCCAGAAAAGCCCGTTTATTGGAGCAGAATAACCTGTAGTCCTGCCGGTGATTAATGTACTTTAATCTTCCTCCTCCCTCATTGTCAAACTAAAGAGTGACAAGTCGATTCAGACCAAGTGTGAGAGCAGGCAACTTCATAAAGGGAAAAAGGCTCAACGTGGACATGAAGAGAGACACTTGAGTCCAAATAGAAGTGCAGCCTTGTCTTTTATTATGAGTTACTATTTTTAAGAATATTCAGCTTGACTAAGTACCATAAACCCAAGGCCGGTTCTTTTAACCATCCAAGCAGAAGGATTGAATGAACCAAATAATTGGCACATTGTAAAAGCATCTTCTCTTTCCACAGATATCAAAGAACCGGAACTCACCCCGAGATGGACGGACGAAACGAAACCGCTCCCATCTCAGATCTGGTTTGGTATTTCCTGCCCACCATAGTCCTGGTTCCTCCTCTCGGGATCCCGGCCAACGCTTTGGTTCTTCGCCTTCTGCTGGGCAAACCCAACATCTGCTCCACCTCTGAGATCTTCGTCCTCAACCTGGCCGTGTTCGACATGATGTTCTGCTTCATGGTCGTCATCGAGTACATCTACTTCATGTTCAATAAAACTGAGGCGAACGCTAACTTCCTGTCCTGGGGCTTGAGTCAGGCGGGGGGTCCGATGTTGCTCTGCGCTACTTCTTTGGACGCATTCATGGCCGTCTGTCACCCGTTGATCTTCCTCTGTCTCAAAGAACCTAAGCTCCGCCTGTCCTTGTGCCTGCTGGTTAGCGTCTTAGCGTTCACGGTCTGCGGTCTGGCGAAACTAATGCCGTTTTACAATTTGGCGATGATCCTGATGGTGGCCATGCTGACCATCTGCACCAGCAACGTCCTGATCCTGAAGTCTCTGCGGGGGCCGGGTCCTGGAGGGAAGGATCTGCACCCGGTGAAGAAGAGAGTGTTCAAGATGGTGTTCACGGCGTTAGTGATGGTGGACTTCCACTACCTGCCGTCGCTCGCAGAGTCCCTGATCAAGGTGTTGTTTCCCAAACTTTTATTGCCCTACTCCATCCTCACCAGCTTCACCTACTTGATTCTGTCCATGAGCAGCTTCATTCAACCGCTGTCGTATCTCGTACGCACCAAACAGCTGCCGAAGATGAGATGTAACGAAAAGGCTGAGACGAAAACTAAGAAAATGTCGGATTTCTGATAAAAAGGTCAGAATTCTAGGAATCGTCCTCTTTCTAAAAGTTGCATTTCTGAAAAAAACTAGTTTTAAAAACCCTGAACTCTAAGAAAAAGTCAGGTTTCTGAAAAAAAGTTCAAAATTATGAAAAAAATATTTTTCCACTAAACAGCTGCCGAAGATGAGATGCAACCGCGGGCCGGCAGCTGAGACGAAAACTACGACAAGTTAGAGCGAATCAGAGAGAAGAGCTCGGATTTCTGATTTTTTTTTCAGGATTTTAGGAAAAAGTCAAAATTATGAAAAAAGTCAGAATTCTAAGAAAAATAAAAAATTATGAAAAAAGTAAGAATTCTAGGAATCCACATGTTTCTAAGAAAGACTCATTCTGGAAAAATTCAAAAATTATGAAAAAGTCAGAATTCTTGGAAAAAGTCGGATTTCTGAAAACAAATTCCAATTTATGAAAAAAGTCCGATTTCTAGGAAAAAGTGAACATGTTGAGAAACAAATTCCGAATCCTGAAGAAAAATCTAAATTCGGAGAAAAAAAACCTGAAATCACGGTTCTGAAAAAGTCAAGAGTTCTGAACCGTACTCCGTACTTGCGGTGAAACTGGTCTCAGGGCACAGGGCTTCCATATTTTAAATGAATGTTGGTTCTGAAGAGCTGACTGTAGAAAGTCTACAAGACCGTATGTAAAACTAAATGCAACAGGAAAAAAACGCATCACAATATTTCATTAAATCATTCAGACAAACATCAGTTTTAATCAAACACTTTCATTTTGACACATTAATCAGTTCAAATACACAATCGGCAGCAACGGCAAGAAACGTCTGAATATACTCTTTAAGTTTGGCTTTTATTATTTCAGAAAAGTAAACACATTTACAAAAATAAACCAACATATTAATCATAAATGTAATGTTTTCAGCACAGAGTTGTTCAACAGCTTTTAAATATGACTTAAACGGACATTTAAATCTCTTTTTGAATTAAATAAGTGAAGATAAAGCTAAATATTTGAACCAAAATATAGACATTGGAAGAACCCAGTATGTACAATATCAGATTATAATTCAAATGTATTTTTTGAGTTGGTATAAATGTAATATCATGGCACAATTTTTGATAACAGCAGAAATCCAATTGTTGTCCAAAGAATAATTAAATATGGAGATAAAACCTCTCAATATCCGCCTTTACATCAAAGCATCAGGACATTAGCACTGCATCAGGGCTGCGGTCGAATAGTCAGTTTAGGAACCTTCCTAACGGAGGGAAATGACCCGGAAGTCCCTCAGTGTTAGCCTGATAAGAGCCGTTAGGACTCTCTAGATCAGTGGTTCCCAACCTGTGGGCCGCGGCCCCCTAGTGGGCGGTGAAGGCGTTGCAAGTGGGCCGCCAAATTTGCAAAACATTATGATTTGTGTGGAAACATTTTCATTATTAAGATTTTTTTTTATTTGAACCTCCTTTCCTTTCTCTTTCTTGATCCTCCCTAGCAACGGTCATTACAGTCCTTAGGCGCTTTCACACCGGAGTACTTTTCCCAGGAATAGTTCCGATAGTTCCTGGGATTTTGCGTTCACACCAAAAAGATCTGGAACTAGAACTTTTCAGTCCCTGCTAGAGAGGTGGGACTTTCCTGGGGAGGAAAAGGTTCCAATTTCTGATTGGCTGGGCGAATTGCAAACCACGCCCCGTAAAACTCTAGCTTTAGCATAGGGTCTTATTGAGCATAGGGTCTTCTTTAGCATAGGGTCTTATTGAGCATAGGGTCTTATTTAGCATAGGGTCTTATTTAGCATGGGGTCTTCTTGAGCATGGGGTCTTATTGAGCATAGGGTCTTATTTAGCATAGGGTCCCATTTAGCATAGGGTCTTATTGAGCATGGGGTCTTATTGAGCATGGGATCTTATTGAGCATAGGGTCTTATTTAGCATAGGGTCTTATTGAGCATGGGGTCTTATAGAGCATATGGTCTTATTTAGCATAGGGTCTTATTAGCATAGGGTCTTATTAGCATAGGGTCTTATTTAGCATAGGGTCTTATTTAGCATAGGGTCTTATTAGCATAGGGTCTTATTTAGCATAGGGTCTTATTTAGCATAGGGTCTTATTAGCATAGGGTCTTATTTAGCATAGGGTCTTATTTAGCATAGGGTCTTATTGAGCATGGGGTCTTATTGAGCATAGGGTTTTATTGACCATAGGGTCTTATTTAGCATGGGGTCTTCTTTAGCATGGGGTCTTATTGAGCATAGGGTCTTGTAACATGTGTGAGATTCTGATATTCTTTAGACAGAAACATATACTCTGCTCCTTGGCTCCTTGATTCCTTGCTAGCCTTAACAGCACTGATGAGAAACTCATGAAACCTGCACAAATGGTATCAACATATATAAATGTATAATAAATAATTCTTGATCTGTGATTCGTCACGATCAAAGTTCCTTTAAGACTGTATTTAAATAATGATTTTGACCTGAATGCACTTCATAATAACAACTAAATCTCTCCTTCGCCTGCTGTGTAAATGTTCTGTGCACACATTGAAATAAAACACAAGATGAATAAACAACACTGGTGTAAACAGTCTGTCCGTGGCGTGAAGTCAATATTCTGAATTCTGTCTTTTAAAGAGGTTCTTCAAGTATTCAAGTACCGGTATTAAATAGAAACTTGCTCAAAGAGAAAACCAAATAAAATTATGAAAAAAACTGCATATTTGATCTTTTTGGGGGGATTTTAAATCAAACAACACTGATTAAAACATTTCACTGACGGTGTCCGGTCAGAAAATATAACAGGAAACTCACTTTGCATATTTATATTCTGAGACAGGTGCAAATACCTCCTGCACGCTGTCATATTTGCAACAAAAAAACAACGTTATTTTGCTAAGATTGAATTAAGATGTCAGGAAGCCTAAAGGTGCCAGCTAGAACCAAAGTCTACTCAAAAACACTTCAAGGCGTTTAACACTCATCTGGTACAAAGAAAAGTCAATGTGGAATAGAGAGGTGCAGGAATGAGTCCTTATCCCTAACGTGAGTCAGCATTTCCTCACTTTCTGTCCCCTGGTCTGGAGGTCAATGGTTCTCTGAATGTCTTTTTGGTTGTTATCCTGAAATAAGGTCTGTGGTTAACACGAGCTGAAGAGATTTTAACGTTTTGTTCTACGGCATAAAATACGTCAGTAAATACCCCACTGGTGAGTAAACCAATGACGGTTGCTAACAAGTGTCTAAATGAGATGACTAAACGTCATCACGCCCAACATTAGCTTAGCGGTGGTGACGTGAAGTCATGTGACCGTGCTGTAGTTCCTTTATAGCCCAACATTAGCCACCTTTAGCTTAGCGGTGGTGACGTGAAGTCATGTGACCGTGCTGTAGTTCCTTTATAGCTCAACGTTAGCCGCCTTTAGCTTAGCCGTGGTGACGTGAAGTCATGTGACCTTGCTGTAGTTCGTTTATAGCCCAACATTAGCCGCCTTTAGCTTAGCCGTGGTGACGTGAAGTCATGTGACCATGCTGTAGTTCCTTTATAGCTCAACGTTAGCCGCCTTTAGCTTAGCCGTGGTGACGTGAAGTCATGTGACCGTGCTGTAGTTCCTTTATAGCCCAACATTAGCCGCCTTTAGCTTAGCGGTGGTGACGTGAAGTCATGTGACCGTGCTGTAGTTCCTTTATAGCCCAACATTAGCCACCTTTAGCTTAGCGGTGGTGACGTGAAGTCATGTGACCGTGCTGTTGTTCCTTTATAGCTCAACGTTAGCCACCTTTAGCATTAGCAATTTACTTCAGAAACAAAACGTGTAAGTATCGTAAACATTTGTTTGGTACAGAGATTATTTTCTGCAATAATCCAAAATCACATGGAGAAATCCCATTGGACCAGGAGATGCTGCCTTCAGGGACCAACATGGGAATACGACATCCCTGCACCTCTCTATAGCTGATACATAGTAATAATTAATATTAAAAACGTTATAAAATGATTCTGTGGCACTCTCACAAGCATACTGTTTCCAGAACGATATGCTCCTACATGGTTTCAGCAGGTAGATCTTTGGTTTTTAGAAGCACTATGTACACTCTTCATTGATTGAATTCCTTCCTATGATTTCTGTGATCATTAAAACACACTCTCTAATGCAACACTAGACATCTTCTCAGTAGCATTTGGTCCTGAACGCACCTCTCCATACTTCATTTATTATTGTTTTTTAAAACATGGTACACCCGAGATGTACTTCCTGCTGCGTTGTCTCACGATGAGGGAATCTGTCCGTGAACACGGAAACGATAAAGACACGTGTAGTCAACGTGACCCCAATTACTGAGAACACGTAACTCCACCAGTCTGTAGACAACACTGGAGATCTGAGAGGAGGAGGAGGGGGAGGGGGAGGGGGAGGAGAATAAGGGGAATGTAAGAGATAAATAAAACAGAAATGACATTACATTTCTGATTTGTTATTCTATGGATACTCTATAGATATTCATCTTTCTTCTGTAATGCTTTTAGTTTATCTTTAACTCAATGTCTTGTAAACAGGCTGCCATTACAGATCAATAGTGAATCTATTCTAATGACCAGCCTGTTCACAATGCAAGTCATTTTAACATCACCATTCCTCAGTCTGAACTCACGGGCAGTTTGAACGTCTGCGTAGATTCTCCGTTCTCATCGTAGGTGAACGTCCCGAGCAGAGAGCCTTCCTCTGACTCCTCTCTCATGCCCTGGGAGATACAGAGGATGACAAACAGATGTAAAGGTCTCTGTAGCTAGTGTACCAAAACAAACCCAAAAGCCTGATAAACAGTGTGTGATACTGAGCGACATGGATTAAAGGTCTCCTATTTCTCTCTCTCAGGTTTACCACAAGGTGAGTTCCTTTTTACTTCCTGCTTCTTCACACACACTCTCTCCAGTGCAGGTTAGCACTGAGTGTTAGCATGCTAATGTAAACAAAGACCATATTACTTCCAGAACACGTCTCATTGTTTCTGACAGCAATGCTTCTGATTGGCCCGTGGGGGTAAAGCCCGCCCACATTTTAGTAATGTGGTCATGACGCAGCA